TTTGAAAAGTAGGTAGTTATTATTGAAGTAAACTAAGCAGAAAAACTAATTGAAGAAGGCATTAAAAGATTCCAGTGAGGCATTTAGGCTTCAGGAATTTTCATGGAAAGGGAAATTAGATGCTTAGAACTTTCACCATCCTGGTGGATGGTGTAGTATTTCACTTAACCTAAAGTTTATCTAGAATTGTCATGCTTTAGTTCAAGTGACAGCTTATAGCCTAAATGGCTTTTAATGACCTTGAATTTTCTGTTTATATGGATAGAACCCATATAGCCTCGGGGTATGGTATCTACAGATGAATAGATTTATCACTTTGGACCTAACATACATGAAGTTAGCAAATATAAAATAGGTGCCTGCTATTTTTCTCTAAACATTCCTCTAAAGTCAACAAGCTGTTGTATTATTGTTCAAAGTGGTGTTTTCTCATTAAAAACATTGAAGTGAAAATTTCTTAGTTTTATTGTTTTTAAATATTCTTAAAACTGGCTAATTAAGTCCTAGAAAAGCAACGGACTGTTATTTTTACTAGAGCAGATAATCAAGCTTATGAAAGAGGGGGTTTCAAGATTTTTTTATAGGTGATTCTTTAAAATAGGCTTTTTTCTTGCTGATATAACTAACATTTATTTTCTGTTTATTTTTAAGACGAGCAAAAATCAAATTAAAGTAGATCTTGTAGATGAGAATTTTACAGAATTAAGAGGAGAAATAGCAGGACCTCCAGACACACCATATGAAGGCAAGTACTTTTTTCTGTATCAAAATATTGTGCGTATTAGAACTTGTCTGAAATATTAAATCAGAATAATCTTAAGCATCTGTAAACTACGTGGAAGGTAACTTCATCTGGCTTAGGATATATAGCAGTTTTTAAAAAATAAATTTAGATACTTATCAAGACTGATTTTTCTTACTGAATTTTAGCTAATTTTTTTCTTTCTCTAAAATAGGTTTAGTAGAGCCAAGTTAGAGGTTATATAGGTTAGAATTTAACAGTATAACACATCTAGCTTGTTAAGCTTCTAGCTTATATGGACGATAGACTCTTAGTTACCCTTCATATGATATCTATAATAAACCTTGCCTGAAATTTCTGACTGATAAAATGTTAATTATTTTGAAAAGCTCCTCTCCCGTTTGTCATTTAGCATTTCATTCACTCATATGTCTTCATACAGGCTGTATTCCAAATATTTGATTTTCTTTATTCAGGAAAGCTTTGAGTGATCATTTCAAGAAATATAGAAAAGAAAAGAGGCAGCCTTGCTGAACTTTGTGTTCATAAACTAAGTCTGTAGCTACTTTAGATCACGCAGTTGGGTGGTAAGATACAGAAAGAAGCTTTATAGCTTTTTATTTCCTCATTACACAAATCTTCAGTAATGAATATTATCGTAAATGTGGGTTATGTAGCATAACCGAGGTTCTTGCGTATAATAAGCATTCAAGTATTTGTTTAATAGAAGTCATATAACAGAATATGTAGTAGTAGCATTTATTGAGTTTTTGCTTATTAGAGCTTTACATGTATTTTCTCATTAAAGTCCTTACAACAAATCTTATGAGGTAAGTACAGTTATCACTGTTTCATAGATGAAGAAATTTAAGTTCAGAAATTAAATAACTTGTCTAAGGTCAAACATCTAAGTGGAACAGCTGGGATTTGAGACCTAACAGCCTTTGACTTCAAAGCCTATGTTTCTAATCACTTTCTCCTTTTGAATAAATCAGGAGTAACTGAATATTGAAAGTGGTGGTTATGTCTACTTTGAATGTGGGGATTCTATAATTCTGTATTGAATAGTTACCCAAAAATTTTCAGAAAAATCCAATATTCTAGAATATTTTTCTGTTTTCATTCAAATTTTTAAAAACACTAGAATGTCTTTAGCATTTCCTACCAAATCTTAAATGATAAAATTTTATATTCTGTTTTGTAGTTCATATGAGCCACTTCTAGACATCATTTAATTTTTTATACTGTTTCCTGAGTGCTTCCCATTTGCCAGGCCTTGTCTGAATGCTTTCATGGGTGCTATTCATTTAGTCCTTTTGACAGTCATTAGATGGAGAAGAGAACTTTAGTTATCTTATAAAAAACCAAGTTCTTGTGTTAAAAGCAGATGTATGTAATGATATACTAGCTTTTTCTTGAAGGCAGACGTTATAAATATTCTTAAATAACTTTTTTCGGTTGTTTAGATGTATTTTTAAAAGACAGTAGGGCAGTAGCATCATCATTCTAGAGCTCTTCCAGCAAATTGATATTTGTAAACAAGGCATCTCCTGAACTAGGATAGGCAGAATATTCGTTACCTTCTTAGAAACCCTTAATAAAGATAGATGAATTCTTAAAAATTGGATAATATACACTTATTTATATGATGATTAAATTACAGATATTCCATATTTGTTGATTAGAAACAAGTTTGGTAATTTTAAGTGCTTATTTCTGCTGCTGCCACTAAATGAGACATTAATCTTTGGTAAGATTAGTTTTAATATGCTTTTGGGGTATATATTTGAGATAGATTAACTTAAATTGTATTCTTTCTTCATAAAACAATTGAAGAGAAGTTGTTTGTTTTGTTTAGGAAAAGCACCATTCAAGGGCATAAACTTAAGATAGTCTTTTTTTGAAATATGGACATGGGTAAAAATATTTTGATAATATTTATGGGAGGGTTCTTTCTAGTTTTTGAGGATTTTTTTAAAATCTCAATAGCTAAGGTAGAAGTTTACATGTGAAATGTTAAACTGTTTATAACCATCACTAAGCAATGAGCTATTTTATGTAGTGTTTAAAGTAATCAGATTGAGAAGTAGAATATCCATGGAAAATTTACCATATTGCACATGTTACTTAACTCAATTTTCTTCTTTTGCCTTAATAGCTCAGTGGCAAAGGAATAATTTAGTTCTTGAGCCTTTCTTCCTAAGAGTTGTTTTGAATTTGTGGAATCATTCTTGTTAGGTTTTAAAATCTCATCCCTTCCCCAACTCCCCTTTGGATTAAGTTAAATCTAAAGATTATAAATTTTTGATATTAAAAGTTGTTCTTCAAGAAGTAAATGTTTTATAGTGAAAGCCATTTTAATATGAGTAAAATAGTTATAAAGCTCCCTTAGTTGTGTTGCTCTGATATATATCAAATAATGCTATGGTTAATAACGCTAGTGGTTATGTATTGAAAGTTGTCAGATAATAATGCAAGACAGAGCATATTAATAGCATATGGAGTAGAAATAGGATTTGCGGTACTCTAGGGTCCAACATTTGTATAATATCTCTGGGCTCTCACACTGCTCTTGAGAGATTGTTTTGGACATACAAAAAGGAAGAACTTTATATGAAAGGTTAGAGACAGTAATCTGGAATTTAATCAGAAAAAGTAAGATTCTTAGGAAGGAATAAGAAGAACCTACATATTACTCAGCCCAAATTTATGATACCTATATTTGAAGCTAGCATTTGTAACTGAACATAAACAGTTATCTCTGTATTCCCCCCAAATTTCCTCAGGTTCTCTTCTCTCATCCGTCTTATTTTTTTGTTTTAACGACTTCCCTTTATATTTCAGTGCTACCATATGCTCTGTGGTTCAGGCATCTAGTTCAATTTATGCATCATGCTCTATGAGATTCTATTAAAAATAATTAGGAAGAAAAGAAGAATTAGAGAACCAAAAAGGACTTGAAGAAAGTGGTACCAAGTGAATTGCTCATTTGTTTTTCTCCCAGATTCAAATTCATCTATTCCTAGCAATGGAGGAGTGGATTTGAGAGAATCCAGATATACTGAGAGTTGAATGTATTGAATTTTGAAGTTAATAATGCTCCTAGCACACAGCTTTTGTTTTATTTTACTTTTTATTATGGAAAATTTCAGGTATATACAGAAGGCGGCAAATGATATAATGAAACTTCTGTGTACTCTTCAGCCAGCTTTAATAACTATCAACCCATGGCAGGTCTTTTATCTAATTCACCCCTTACTTGTTTTGAAGCAAATCCCATAAATATTTCATATGTAAATGTTTCATTAGCACAATTTTATTTGTTGTATTTTGGAATAGTGAGTATTCTATGTTAGTAAGTCATAAAATCTTAGAATTTGAGTATTTCTTAGAGTTAGAATTCAAATCCAGCCTCTCATCCAGTGCAAGACTTTCCCCTTCAGAATTTCCTGAGAGGTAGTTATCCTCCCCTTGAATACCCCAGTCATGGCAAGCTAGATAAACTTTTTAAAAATACATATTTAGCTGCTAGTTGTTCAAGATAACTTCAAACCAAAACAGAATGTTGCTTTCTATTTATATAATAATGGTTAGAACAACCCCTTTGTAAAATTTGCATTTTGTATACCCATTTTGAGGAAGCAAATAGTTTTTTTATCTTTATGCCTACCTCTGGTCTTATTGTTTAATTTTATTTTTAAATTTTAACAAGAAATGTTAGCATTTAATTTAGGGCACAAGTTAAAAGTTTGGGACATTTTTGCATTTGAGAGAACCAGTTAGTAGTAGATCTTTTTCAGTTTATGGCATAATCTGTATATCCTTTTGCTGTGTATGCCTTTATGCCTCCCTGCCTTCTTTCTTGTTTTCTTTCCATTTTTCTTTATTATTTAGCAAATCTTTATCAGTGTGGACTAGAGGAATCAAAAGGAGATGGAACCTACACTACTCAGTTGTCCCAATGAAATCTTTGGCATTGGATTGTCTATGGATTTAATGTATTCATCTATCTCTAGCCCTATTATTTACTGATAAACTAATACAGTTGTATAACATGAGTATTCTGTATGCTTTAAAAAAGCTTTAAATTAAAAACCTAGTGCTTTTGATTATTTCCTTTTTGGATTTCAATTTTAAAATGAATTTGTTGTAATTGAATATGAAATAGTGCATGTTTTGTCAAGTTCTATCACTATATTTTGCTTCACATATTTGAGGTGAGCAGCATTCTTAACTTTCTGTTTTCCCTGTTTTTTAGGAGGAAGATATCAACTAGAGATAAAAATACCAGAAACATATCCATTTAATCCCCCTAAGGTATTGTAAGCCTAATCTTGTGCATGAACTTCTAAAATATATTTCTTGGTTCATTTAATTAATATATTTTAGTGCTTATTAAAATTATAGCTTTTTGAGTTGTTGACTGTAAATAAGTGTGGATAACATTTCGGGTAATGGCAGATGGTTTGCTTCTGGAATTAGAATGAAAAGCAGGGTTACTCAGAGGCAACTGGTAGTGGCTCTAGACAGGATTAGGATGTGCTTCTGACAATGGCTTAAATTCTAGGTCTAGAAAAACTTGCAGTATTCCCAAATTTAGAGAACTCTTATAAAAGTTCTTTCTTGCCTCAAAGAAATACATTTTTTAGGGAAGAATGTGTTCTGAATTCATTTAACAATTAGAGTACTGTGTGCCAATATAGCAATAAATAAGACTTATACTGTCTTTGATTTCATGGAGCTTACGTTCCAGCAGGAAAAAAAAAATGAACAAGTAATTACAATTGTGATGAATGTTGAAAGAGGAAACAGCATGCCCTAGGATCATGTATAGCAAGGGGAACTAAGCTAAACTTATTTTTGACTGAACAGCTTCCTTTATGTCTGTACTTTTGCTGTCATCATTGCTTTAGTTTAGGCATTCAACTTTATTACTTCCCTGTTTTGCCTATTATTTAATCACCCTTCCATCTTTGCCACTCCTCTTCATTCTTTGCATTGCTGTTCTGTAAATCTTCCTAAAATGCAGTTTTAATCATGTTTCTTTTCTTTCCTTGTTAATAATGTCTAAACTCCTTAGCTAGGCATTTAAAATCTCCTTTAACCTGATGCCAGTCTTCTTTTCCACCCTCACCTTCAACATGGGTCTTATTTTCCACTCTGTATTATTTGCTATTTGTAGATGATGCTTATTCTTTCACAGTTTTCTGTCATTTTCGCTTGGATCATTGTCCCTATCATTTAAAATTCTAGTTTTCTTTTGAGGTCTGGGTTAAGTAATACTTTCTCCATTAAGTTGTGCCCATCAAATTGTTTCTCCCTCTACTCTCAATAGCATTTTATATAATTTATATAGTACCAACACAAATACAATACCAATTAATGTATTCTATTATTTGGGTATGTTTCTTTCACTTTCTTTTATACTTATGAGGTGAAGAACTATGTCTTTGTATTTTCTATGGCTCCTAACAGTATAGTGTCCCTTCAGCTTATGATAGTAGTTACTGAGAAAATGTTCTGGAATTCATTCATTCAACCTATGAGTTGTTTGCATTTAAGAATAGACATGGTGGGGGCCGGCCTGGTGGTGCAGCGGTTGAGGGTTGAGTGCGCAAGTTCCGCTTCGGCCGCCCAGGGTTCACCGGTTTGGATCCTGGGTGCGGATATGACACCGCTTGGCAAGCCATGCTGTGGCAGGCGTCCCACATATAAAGTAGAGGAAGGTGAGCACGGATGTTAGGTCAGGGCTAACAAAGCAAAAAGAGGAGGATTGGCAGCAGATGTTAGCTTAGGGCTAATCTTCCCCACAAAAAAAAAAGAATAGACATGGTAATGGAAGTTCCAGGGTGATTTGAGTCACCTACCAGTTTGGGGTGCCTGTTATGCTGTTGTTTATGTGTATCTATTTTCTCATAAGCCTGGTAGATTTTTTAAAATTATGTTAAAATATATATAACATAAAATTTACCATTTTAACCATCTCTAAGTGTGCAGCTCAGTGGCATCAAGTACATTCACCTTGTTGTGCAACCATCACCACCAACCATCTCCAGAGCTTTTTCATCTTCCCTGTTAAATAATAACTCCCTGTTACCCCATGCCCCCAGCTCCTGATGACTACTGTTCTACTCTCTCTGTGAATTTGACTAATCTAGGTCCCTTATTTAAGTGGAATCATAACAATATTTGTCCTTTTGTATCTGGCTTATTTCACTTAGCATAATGTCTTCAGGGTTCATCCATATTATAGCATGTGTCAGAATTTCATTCCTTTTAAAAGCTAAGTTGTATTCCATTGTACATATCTTCCACATTTCGTTTATCCATTCAGTCATCGATGGACATTTTGGGTGTTTTCTACTTTTTAAGTCTGGTTGTTTTTTTTTTTTTTTTTTTTGGTATTATAAAAGTAGTTTGTGTTTTTTGTAGACAGTTGAGAAAGTTATATAGTGAAATATAAAAATAAGAAAACATTTTTTCAATACAACCACTTAGAGATGACCACTGTTAAGCTTTCATCTTACATCTGTGACTTAATTTTAATTGTTATCCTGGTTACCTTCTACTGGATTCAGTCGAGGTGGTCAGTGTTATCATTAGAATGAGTAGTCATTTGAGAGTACTTTAATTGTAGAATACCATGAATGTAAGAAAAGATTTTTAAATGTTTAGAGATAAGGATGACCTCATAGGCTAAAAAATTTTTTTAATGGAAATAAGAAAGAAAAGACCTTAAGAGAGACTACTTTCAACCACTACATTTTTATAATTAAATAATAATTGTAGCAGCCGTCACTTGCTTTGTGCTAAGAATTTAATATCCCTTTCCTGAAACAGTTTTTATAATAATTGAGGGAACTGAGGCTTTGAGTAAATAGAACCCAGATCCCATAAGGCCCACTGTGTTCTAACTTTCTTGATCCTGATGAGGAAGGAGTGAGGATCTCTGAAAAAGTGAATATGACTCTACCAAGAACAAGAACAATCAACCACAGTTCAAATCTTCTGCCATTTAACTGGCTTTGTGATTTTAGGCAACCTATCCAACTGCTGTGTGCCTCAGTTTTCTCATCTGTAAAATCCTCTCAGGGTTGTAAAGATTAAAGGAGTTAATCCATGTAAAGAACCATATTTCAATACTTCTATGAAACATTTTTTCACATTTTTAACATCTCTGAAATCGGGATACATCTTTGAATGGATGGTGTATTATAATTTAATTGGCAGACTTTTTTTCTTTCTCAAAGGTCCGTAAAATAATGGTGTATTGAATAATTGATGGTACCTGAGTTTTAATGAAATATGATACTTAGAATACTGCTTGCGCAGAGTAAGTATTCTGTAAATATTAGCTAGCACTAACCAATGACTACCACCTTAAGAGGCCCTTCTTGAAGTAGTCTGTTGGCTTCCCTCTGCAACATCATTTTAAAATACAGTAGCATTGACAGTTAAACTTTCTCTGTAAATTGAAATTCTCATACAGTGCTGGTGGGAATGTAAAATGTTGGAGCTGCTTATGTCCACACAACAACTTGTACACAAATGTTCATACCAGCGCTATTCATAATAGCGAAAAAGTGGAAACAACCTAAATGTCCCTCCTCTGAATGGATAAATAAAATGTGGTATACCCATACCATGAAATATTATTTGGTTATAAAAACAAATGAAGTATTCATCTGTGTTATAAGATAGATGAACTTTGAAAACATCATGCTGAATAAAAGAAGCCAAATACAAAAGGCCACACTTTGTATGATTTCACTGATATGAAACATTTGAAGGAGCAAATCCATAGAGACAGAAAATAGATTGGTGGTTGCTTAGGACTCGGGGAGTGTGGGGGAATAGGTAGTGACTGCTGATGGTTATGTGGTTTCTTTTTGAGTTGATGAAATGGTTAGAAATTAGATTGTGGTGATGGTTGTACAACTCTATGAATATACTAAAAACTATGACGTTCTGTACTTTAAATGGGTAAATTATGGCCTCAATAAAAGTGCTTAATTATTTCTGTCTAACGACTGTGTTTAGCTCTTAAGTGATTGTATAGTCCTGGCTCTGTTTTATGCACTTGATATATTATTTAATCCTTGAAATCACTGTCTTATCACCACTACCACCACCTCTTATTTTTAGTACAATGAGAAAAATAGACTTGAAATATAAGAACCGAGGTCTGTCTGATGTTTTTGCTACTAGTTTGCATTGCTCTTCAGGCCACTACTATCCTAATTCCAGCCATTCTATATTGAGGTAGCTTCAGGCTTTAGAAAGATGTTCCTTCAGTCAACCCAAATTTGTCTCCCTCTGGCTTAGTCGTAGTTGGAATTTAGAGTTCTTTTAAATATGGCACTAATCCCATTTATGGCATTAAGCTTTTGCAGTAAATGTTAATGAACATATGATAAATATGTTCTAGATATGTACTATATTGATTTGAAGTTTTACTGATTGGTTAATATAATGGAAAGATTGGGGAATATTTGTGCGAATTTCTTGCTGTATTATGTTCACATTTAATATATAGGTTTAATTTTACTCCTTATGAGGTAAAAGTATTGAAGTTAGCTGTTATATCCTCTTCTCATTACTGTGCAGCTAAAATTGCACAAGATTGCAAACTTAGATGGATTTATATTAACATGGCCACACTGTACTTTCTGTTCATTATCCTGCAATAAATTATTGACCTAAAGAGCAGAAGGTTAACTTCTAGATAGAGAAGATATATCTTTGAATCAGCTGAATATAGTGTAGAAGGAATTTGATTCAATGCATACAACCAATGTTATTTCTAGAGTAAATTATAATATATATTCTGTTAATGAAAAAAAACCATTAAGTTAGGAAAACTCTAGGGGCCGGCCTGGTGGCGCAGCGGTTAAGTTCATACAGGGTTCACCGGTTTGGATCCTGGGTGCAGACCTACGCAGCACTTGTCAGGCCATGCTGTGGTAGGTGTCCCACATAAAATAGAGGAAGATGGGCACAGATGTTAGCTCAGGACCAGTCTTCCTCAGCAAAAAGAGGAGAATAGGCAGCAGATGTTAGCTCATGGCTAATCTTCCTTAAAAAAAAAGAAAAAAATTAGTAAAACTCTAGCTCAGTGATTTGTCCAATTAAGTATTCAAGGTTAGGTTGTGAATTTTTCTCTTTTTCCTCGGCATAATAAACATACTTTTATACGTGAAATTGAGTACAGTCACGTGCCACATAATGACATTTCAGTCAGTGATGGGCCACATATATGATGGTAGTCTCACAAGATTAGTACTGTGTAGCCTAAGTATGTAATAGGCTGTACCAGCTAGGTTTGTACAAGTACATCCTGTGATGTTCACACGATGACAAAATCGCCTAACGACATGTTTCTCAGAATATATCCCCATCATTAAATGATGCATGACTATATAAATAGCAATAGTAATAACCTGTAATGAGTCTGTCCCTCTGCGCATGCATATTTAAAATAAAATAGCATTTTCTTTTGTACAGTAAATTAGTTAAAGCTCGTTTAGCTATTGTAACATTGAGTTCCAAGCTTGAAACTGGAAATTCCCAATGGAAATATGAGCTCACATTTACTATGAAATAGTTGCTGAAATGTTTGTTGAACTAAAGAGTGAATGAACATAGGATGCATCCTGTAGGAGGAGATAAAATTACTGATGATGGTGTGCCCATATAGGTAACTAAAAATAGTCCCCTTCCTTCATTTCGGTCTGGTAACATTGTTAAGATTTTTGATTCTATTCTTTGAGTGCTCCTCAAAGCTAATGGATGTTCTGATGTTACCTAGATGGTGCTAGTGTGAGTTTCATTTGTGAAAAAGAGACTTGAATTGTTGTTAGTAAGTGTTTTAGTACTATAAACCATCCCACATCTGTTTTGTAATCGGAGTCAAATATGATTCAAATAGGTCATAATAAATGTCATTGTATTTTTACTTAGACTTATACTTCATCCCTTCCAAGTTCTTTTGATTCTTCATTTTTGTCGATATATAGGACAAGGATGATAGCACTATGGGAGAAAGTGACAAACACAATGGACATGAATTGGGTATAGAATAATAGAACCAAATTCTGGGATACATGTGAGTAGTACTGGTGATATTAAAGCTTGAGGAAGACAAAGAAAAAAGTGAAAAATGTAAGAAAGGAGGTAGTTGGTGAAGAATAACAAAGAAGAGAGAAATAGGAGATAGAGTGGTAGACCATACAAAGAACTACTTATAAAATAGTTATTTATATCTATAGTGGTGGATAATGGAGTGTTCTCTTGAAAACTAATTTCTTTATTAGATCATCTGCAAATTCAAAAATATTTATTCCTAACTGTAGATTTAGTACAAAGTATGAAAGAGTTTAATAATTTCCTTGGTCCTGCATATGTGCATATTTGTTTTCATGTCGAGTCTGTGGAGAATCATGTATTGAAGACTCTTTAAAAAGCAAGTTACAGTTCGCACAGCCTTAGATCACCTGCCTAAACCATAAAACTTCTGACATCTTCAGTAGTAATTTAAAATTCTGATTTCCAATCTTGTTGAAAATATTGAACCAACTTTTGTTTTAAAGTCACAAAATGCTGTAATGTCCTCAGATTATGGAAATTATGGTGTATGGTTATTTTGTATCTTTATGCTTTGAACTCAGTGGTAAAAATTAAGATGTGAATATTGTCTTCTGTCTCTTATAAAGAAATGTTTGTTGTACATAAGCTCTATATGCCTGTCTTATTTGACCTGCACTATATTTGAGAGGGATACTGTTTAGCCCTATAATAACAGGTTTGTCATAATGTTAATTGCATATTCATTCAATGTAAGTCTCTCTAGATACTTGGGGTGCTCTGGTAAGCAGGATAGATACTGTGCCTTTCAGGGAAGACCAGACAAATAAGAAAGAGATTAAAGAAGTGTGATCAATACTATGACATAGGAAAGTACAGGGTGCTGTGGGAACTAATCAGGAAGAAGCAATATGGAAGCTGTAACTTGGAAGATAAGTTACGAGTTAGCTAGGAGAAGAGAGCATCAAGACATGTTATTGAAAGAAAGAAACACATCTGAAGGCCCTCAGGCAAAAAAAATTTCTTTTGAGTATGACTTACTGAGCAAGTGCAGGGAATGTAGGGTAGAAGTGAGGTTTGAGAGGTAGGCTAGGGCCAGTTTAAGAATGTGGGCTTACATAAAGGGAATGAGAAGTCATTAAAGAGCCTTAAGTAGAGTAGTGACATGAATGAGATTTGTTTTAAAGGGTTCTCTTTCATTTTAGTGTGGAGAATGGATTGTTGGAGGGAGCAAAACTGAAGGCAGTAATGTCAGTAGACTGTTCAGTAACCCAGGTGGAGAATGATAGTCTCCTTTAACAAGATGATGGTTCTGTAAATGGAGAGAAGTAGGTATCATTGAAAGCAGAAAGATTATTTTAAGAATAAAAAAGGATCCCGGAAAGTACATTATTAGCGTTTTGAAGTCATTGGGGACTTAAAGTGCTTTTTCAGATGGCATATAAGTTAGTGAGTAGTTGAGGAGGAAGTAGAGACAGGTAGTATAGACAAGTCACAAGGAGAAAAGTGGAAGCTATCAGTTTAGCTTCTTCCCATAAATAGTTTAGATTTGAAGCATATATTGATAAATTATTTTTTGTAAAGCACTTAGAACATTTCTTGGCTTAGAGTAATAATCTATTGATTGTTAAAAGAATTTTGACTTAATACTATCATATGTGTCAGATATAGTGATAATAATAATAATAATGGTCTTCCAAAAGCTCATAAGTAAGAGTTGACGAATTAGATTTTATTTCATGGTGATCTGATACAGTTGGCATTATCACTTTGTTGGTTTCTTATTCTTCCATGCTAAGACAAATGGTGAGGTGGGTAGAGATTCAGAATCTGAAATCAGATTGTATGAGTTTACATTTTGTTCTGTTGCTAACTAGTTATTTGATTTTGGATAAATCTCTTAAACTCTAAGCCTCAGTGTCTCCTTAGTGCCAGGCATATAATAATAAGCCTTCATGTGGAATACTACTCAGCCATAAAAAAGAACAAAATCATCCCATTTGCAACAACATGGATGGACCTTGAAGGAATTATGTTAAGTGAAATAAGCCAGATAGAGAAGGACAATCTCTGTATGACTCCACTCATATGAGGAATTTAAAAATGCAAAGAGAACAGATTAGTGGCTACCAGGGGAAAGGTGGGGTGGGGGTGGGCACAAAGGGTGAAGGGGTGCACCTACAACACGACTGACAGACAATAGTGTACAACTGAAATTTCACAAGATTGTAACCTATCATTAACTCAATTAAATAATAATAATAAGCCTTCATGTATTTGTTAAATTATTTTTAAAAACTTTGAGAAAAGAATTGTTACAGAAAAATTAGGATCAGTCTTATAGCCACGTCCTACTTGTGCTTCCATGTACTGATTTTGCTTACTTTTTCTTTCAAACCTATTCTACACCTTACTTCACACTAAAAAAGTTGCCATTTACTGTCAGTATTTTGACTTATGTACTACTTTATCTACCTAAATGAATTTAAGTCCATGTTTGTATTTCTCATAGCATCTAACATTATGCTGGGTAAATTATACACACCTAGTAATTGTTGGGTTTCTTTAAAGGCAAAGCATTTATTAAAAGATTTAAAAAGAATGCATGTCAGTGACAACATTTGGCTTACTGAATTCTTCTACACTCCTCTCTTCATCTAGGCAAAATGATGTGATGTGTAAATACAGACATTCTTTTTAGATCCGAGGGTTTCATTTTACTTGTAGTTCTACTTAAACTATATGTGTTTTATTTATTTTACATAAAAACTCAAGTGTGCTTTATATTCTAGGTCCGGTTTATCACTAAAATATGGCATCCTAATATTAGTTCCGTCACAGGGGCTATTTGTTTGGATATCCTGAAAGATCAATGGTAAGAGATTTTGAATTCACTTTCTCCCCTTTCTCATATGAATTCCAAGACTATATTTAGAGTGTTAAATGTCTGATTGCCTCAAAACATAAGCATGTATTATACTTCCTCTTCTTTGGATAATAATTTTAAAACTTTATGAAAGTGTGTTATAATTGAGATCACAATCTATTTTTAAATAGTGACTTATTAGGTAATGTCAGATGCTAGCTTTACATCTTGAAAAGTCTTGGATTTCATTTGTTATTTTCATAAATTTGATTCTTTGCTGTCTCAGGAAGATATTTGTGAAAGAATAAAAAACGTTTAAGTATTGAAGTAATCAGCTCTGACTTGGATGGAATCTAGGCAACAAGAATGTTATGCAAGTTGTGTTAATTGCACACAGTAAGGTTCTCAGATTCCAAGAACGAATACCTTTTTACGTAATACCTTCATTTGCACAGCCCTTTATAGTGCTTTCACATGTTCTGTCTGATTTGATCTTAGCAGCATATTGTTTTAAGAGTTCTTACTCTAGAGCTGAGGGGTTTGAATCCTGGCTCTGCCATTTACTAAGCTCTGTGATCTTGAGCAAATTACCTAGTCTTTGTGCCTTAGTTTACTCATCTAAAAAAATGAGGTTAATACCTGCTTCATAGGGCTATTGAGAGGATTAAATGAGTTGCTTTATGTAATACTCTTAGAGTAGAGCCTGGAATATTCTAACAGTATGGATGGAAAAACAAAGACAAGAGGTATAAAAAGATATTGGAATGGAGGAAAATAGTAGTAAGTTATGTGTTTGATTTGTTAAGAAAGGGAGAGAATTGAACCTGAACAAGGTAAAACAAGAGTGACAGCATACGGTGTATGAGTGATTTGGTTTATTTAGTAGTAACTGGATAAACAGATGAGAGTTGCTGGTTTGGTTTTGTTTTCTTTTTTCCATTCTAATAGCATATCTGAGTAAAGACTCTCCCTGAGTAGATCATCTCGTGGAACATGGTTTCTTGATCTGTATTCCATACTGTTAAAAACATTGAACAGTGTAGAACAGAACTAACTTTATCTTCTGTCATTCTTTTGATTTCTGACTTTTCACAATTTATTGAATTTCTAGGCCTCAGTGTTTTTATCTATAAAATCATCTCCAAGGCCCCTTACAGCTCTGTCATTCAGTGATAGTAATGAATAGTTGCAGTATTAGAGACATCGTACTTTTTTTGCTTGGTTTCCAGAACATCACTTCTCCTCCCCTTCCTATGCCCACTCCCACACTCCTTAACCATGTAGTTCCTGCTGCATCTCCTGGAGCTTTGCACATGAGAATGCCTCAGGGCTATCTTTTTCTTTTAAGATTTTATTTTTCCTCCTTCTCCCCAAAGCCCCCAGTACATAGTTGTGTATTTCCAGTTGTGGAGCCTTCTGGTTGTGGCATATGGGATGCCACCTCAGTGTGGCCTGATGAGTGGTACTACATTCGCACCCAGGATCCGAACCAGTCAAACCCTGGGCGCGCGGTAGCGGAGCTCACCAACTTAACCACTCGGCCACGGCGCCGGCCCCAGGGCTAAGTCTTTACCTCTGCTCCTTTCCATCTATATTCACTTCCTTGGTAAGCTCATCTGATTTTATAACTTCACTGTTTATATACTAGCAACTCACACATTTTATCTTTACTGAACTCCAGACTCATGTCCTACTGCCTGCTTAACATCTACATGTAGATGTAATGGACATGAATATGTAATGGACATCTCAAACTTAAATGTGTTGAAAACTGAACTAATATTCCCCTAATCCAAAACCTGCTTCATCCCATCTAAGTTATTGGCAACTATATTCTTGCAGTTGTTCAGGCCAAAACCTCATCATGATCCTTGGTTCATCTTTCTCTGGTATCCTCTGCCCTGTCTACAAATCCTGTTGGTGAAACCTCCAAAACCTCAGCAGCTTCACTACTACCACCTTGGTCCAAGTCACATTACCTCTTGCTTCGATGACTACAGTAATCTTGCCCCGCTGCTTCTGACTTTGCCCTCCTCAGAGTATCATTTTTCAGCCAAAATGATACTCTGCCTCCCCCGACTCCCCTTTAAAAACAAATACAGGTCCAGACTAAAATCTTCCACTGACTTCCCTTTTTGCTCTGAGTTAAACCAGCAGCACTACTGCTTCTGATTATCTCCCTATAGGTACTTGAAAGATTATGGTGTGTATATAGGGACAGAACTTGAATTTTTGTACCAAAATGCCTTTTATCAGCTATTCTCATTTCCTAAGGCAGGTGAAATAACTGAATTTAGTCTTGTTTCATATCTATATAATCAAAATATTAAAAGACACATCAGATAAAATAGTTGAGATTGGATATACATGGATTTGTTCCCTCCCACCCCCAGCTTTATTGAGAATTAATTGACATTCAGTGGATATCCATGTTTAAGAGTGAATATTTAGGCTTTAGAACTGGAATTTGATAAAACTACAAGATAGTAATCTTAGGAAAAATAAATTGAATAAACATTGAATAATTTGGGACAGGTATGCTAGAAAACAGTTTGTTAATCTTGGTCTTTTATTAATACATGTGGATGATGATTTACCTTTAATATTTAACAACTTATGTTAGTATGGTTTATTTCTTAACTCCATTAACTCACTCTATGTGGAAACTATTTTCTAATGTTTTCCGCTGACACCCATTGTGACTAAAGGTGTCTGTTTACCTGGGGAAGAAAATGACAACACGAACAAATTGCACTCAGTGATACTGCCTTTCCAAAAGACTCGAACAGGCGGAGAGAATATCTAGATGGCCTATAAGCTATGCTTAGCATCATTAGTTATCAGAGAAATGCACATTAAAATCACATTTAGATACTACTACACACTTGTAATGGTTCTCATGCATTGCTGGTAGGAATGTGGTTCAGCCACTCAACCAGCAGTATCTACCAGAGCTGTACACACCTTTGATATGGCCCAACAGTTCCACTCCTAGGTTTAGAAGCCAAGAGAAATCCAAGAGAAATGAGTGCACATGTCCGCCAAAAGACTTGTACAAGAATATTCATAGCAGATTTATTTAAACTGGAAATAACCTAAATGTCAACAACAGAATGGATATATAATTGTATAATTGTACAATGGAGCACAGCATAGCAGTGGGAAAAAAAAGGAAAAAGCATATTGACCCAAACAACATGGATGATTCTCCCAGACATGTTGAGTGACAAAAGCCAGACACAAACGAGTACATAATGTATGATTCTGTTTTTATGAAATTCAAGGTAAACCAAAGCTAATTTATGGTAATAGAAATTAGGACACTGGTAGGTGAGGGTTGTGAGTGGGAGGGGCAAGAATGAGGCTTTTTGAATGGTGGTAATACTCTATTTTTTGATCTAGATGGTGGTTATGTGAGTGTATACATATCTAAAAACTCATCCAGCTGTATGGCATTTTACTCTGCTTATTATACCTTAATAAATTATAACAGAAAAGCTGCCGTTATCTTTAAGTAGCATTGATTGTGTTTGAATAGATAATTTGTTGGTGGTCTTCTGGAAGACCCTTAACAGCAAAGTGAGTCCACGATACACAGACCTACTGAGTCCATATGGATAAGCATTTAATCAGGCGCACTAGCTGTGCTCATTGATTTGAAGTCTGAGCAAAATTAATTTACTGAAGACAGATTTGTAAGATTATCTCACTTATTCATATCATCCACTGATTAATTAAAATTAGCTAACACATTTTGAAATTTCATACTCCTGTTTGCCTGTTACGGTTTGTTTTTAATTTTTTAATTTTACACACTAAATCCTAAAAATCTCAATGCAATATAAATGTAATCAGTACTTTGTGAAAAGAACAATGGAATAAAAGATTTTATTTTCAGTTGTATACTTTTTTACATTACTAAATTTAGATTTAGAAATTAATGTAGAACAGTCCAAAAATGTACATTTCTTTAAACCATCAAAGATGTTATAATTTCTGTAGTATTTAGGGCCAGAAGAGTAGGTTTTGTTTTGGTATTAATTTAATTACAACTAATTATTAAAATAATGTCATTGTTTACCGTTAATTGTATGTTCAGCTTCTTAAAACTTTGCGTTTAGGTTTCTTTTTAGCCAACTAATTCTTAATGGTTTATAAACACCTCCTCAGCATTTTGTTAAGAAAATTTTCAAGCATACAGAAAACTTAATAACTTTTTCTCATTGAGATTGTTATGAATTGAATCTAAAGTTCCAGATTTTTCTATGAGTTTTGAGGGCAAACTATTCCTTTTAACATGTTTAACTTTAGGTCCTTAGTTTCTCATTTTTGAAGTGGTTAACTCTAGAGGTCTGTAGTAGTTTGTGTCTTCCCAGTAAAGACCCTGAAAATGAAAGAAATAGACATTTTTTATGCAATTATAAAATAGATGTGACATAAAGTTTGCCATCTTAAGTGTTTTTTTAAGTGACATATAACATTGTAATCTTAACTGTTTTAAAGTGTGCAGTGAGTAATATTGTGGTGCAACCAATCTCCAGAACTTTTTTTTTTAATAAGACTTTATTTTTTTAAAAAAACGGTTTTAGATCCACAGCAAAATTGTGAGGAAGGTACAGAGATTTCCCATATACTCCCTCCCCCTACAGATATAGCCTACTCCATTATCAACATCTTCCACCAGAGTAGTATATTTGTTACAGTTGATGAACCCTACATTGGCATATCTCAATCACCTGAAGTCCATAGTTTATATCTAGTTCACTCTTGGTGTTATATATTTTATGGGTTTGAACAAATGTGTAATGGTATATATATATCATTATGGTATACAGAATATTTTCACTGTCCTAAAAATTCTCTTCCTCTTCATCCCTCTATCCTACCCCCCAGAACTCTTTTCATCTTGCAAAACTGAAACGCTGTACCCATTAAACAATAACTTCCCATGCCCCCCTCTTTCTAGATCATGATAATAACCACCATTCTACTTTCTGTCTCTATGAATTTGACTATTCCAGGTACCACATGAATCATAGTATTTGTCTTTTTCTTCCTGACTTCACTTAACATAACGTCCTCAGAATTCATCTATGTTGTAGCATGTGCCAGATTTTTCTTCCTTTTTAAGCCTGAATAATGTTCCATTGTATTTATTTATTTATTTATTTTAAAGATTTTATTTTTCCTTTTTCTCTCCAAAGCCCCCCAGTACATAGTTGTATATTTCTAGTTGTGGGTCCTTCTAGTTTTGGCATGTGGGATGCGGCCTCACCATGACTTGATGAGCGGTGCCATGTCCGAGCCCAGGATTCGAACCAGTGAAACACTGGGCCGCCACAGCAGAGCGCACTAACTTGCAAAGTTAACCACTCGGCCACAGGGCCAGCCCCTCCATTGTATTTAAATACCACATTTTGTTCATTCATCGGTTGATGGAAACTTGGTTTGCTTTCACCTTATGGCTGTTGTGAATAATGTTTGTTAAGAGCATGATGTACAAAATACCTGTTTGAGTCCCTCCTTTCAATTATTTTGGGTGTATATCCAGAAGTGGAATTGCTAGATCATTTGGTAGTTCTGTGTTTAATTTTCTTGAGGAATTACCATTGCTGTTTTCTGTAGAGGTTGCTCTGTTTTTCATTCCCACCAACAATGCACAAGAATTCCAGTTTCTCCACATCCGCACCAACAACTGGTATTTTCTATTTTTTTGATAATAGTCATCCTAAAGGGTGTTGGTGGTATCTCATTGTTTGATTTACAGTTCCCTAATGATTAGTGATGTTAAGCATCTTTTCGTGTGCTTATCAGCTATTTGTATATCTTCTTTGGAGAAATGTTTGTTCACGTCCTTTCTTGTTTTTTAATCGGATTTGTTTTTTGTGGTTGAGTTGTAGGAGTTCTTTATATATTCTAGATAGTAACCCCTTACCAGATAAATGATTCGAAATATTTTCTCCCATTCTGTAGGTTGCCTTTCACTCTGTTGATTGTATCCTTTGCACAGGAGGGGTTTTTTTTCCTCTCTCCCTCTATGTAGGAGTTTTAAATTTTGAGGTAGTCATAGACCAGTTTCTCTGTTTTTTCTTTTGTCGCCTGTGCGTTTGATTCCTTATCTGAGAAATCATTGCCAACTCTAATGTCATGAAGCGTTTGCCCTAAGAGTTTTGTAGTTTTAGCTCTTACATTTAGGTCTTTGATCCATTTTGAGTTAATTTTTATATATGGTGTAAGGCAGGGGTCCAACTTCTTTCTTTTGAGAGCTCATCAAGTTTTAAAGAAAAAGTTTATTGCCTTGTTGAGATATAAATATATATAGCTACCTATGTGATGTTATTAAGATTTTGCTAAGATTTACAGGATTTAGATGGCTTTTACTTTACATGCTTTCATGTTTTTATTGAAGGTTAAAATAATTATTGTGAGTTTAATAATCATTTTAGTATGAAATACTTCTTTGAAGATTTTTCTTCAATATTTAGATAAATTTCCTTGATGGAAATAATTGTATTAATTAAAAATTACGTAATTTAAGGTTTTGTTTACAGTGATGTCATGGATTTTTAAATTAGCATGCTTAAACAAGTCCATTGGGATATTAGAGTAGCCAGCTTAACTTCATATATTCTATTTCTGTGGTATTTTATCTTTTTCCTTTTGTTGAGTTGTCAGCTTCATGCTGATACGTCTAGGCAGCTTTTGATGTACGTGTGCCTTTAAACATTCTCTTTAAAATTACCCAACATAAAGTGAAATAACAATAGTGTACTTATAATTAAGAAAGATTAGTCACCTTGTTATGGTGATAATGAAAGCACCGGAATGAACATTTAAGGTCTAAATTTGGATTTTTATGCTTTGACTCCAGTCTTAAAAAAAAGAATATTGTCCGTTCTAAAGGTATTACAACCGTTGGTTGAAAATAACTTGTGTAAGCTCAGGAAATTTAGAACCTTAGTCTAAAAAATAATATGTTTTCCTAGACCTATTTCAGAATTAGAAATTTTCATTACATAAAACTATATAGCAGTTAATAGCTTTTAAAATTCTTTTCTCTTTTTAATGCTAGTTTAGCGTTTCAACTAACTTTTAAATCTCATGACCAATTTTTTCCTATTCTTGTCGCTTCTCTAAGAGGATAAATTGATCAAGAAAGACTTTTATTCTGATAGCATTTTAGATAAATAACCATTTGTAGTGTAAATTTTCTCAAATATGTAAAATACCTCCAGATGTGATACTGATTTTGTTGTAATGGTTTATAGCAGCCTCTCTCAATTAGCTTAAGTTGCAGTGCACTAAAGTGGTATTTCTCAAACATTAGCTTGCATTAGAATCACTTGGAGGACTGGTTAACCCACCCCAGAGTTTCTGATTCAGTACGTCTGGGATGAGGCTGAGAATTTTCATTTCTTACAAGTTCCCAGGTGATGTTGGTGGCTACTGGTTGGGGTGGGGAAACCACACTTTGTGAGACGCTCTGCCTTAAGACATCCATTGCTGGTAATAAATTAACTTTTCTCCTAAGCATCTAGGTATCTGTATTTATAGACCATGCTTGGGAAAATTGAGAGAGTAGTCACTCAGTAATTTTCACTGTTCTGTGGTTAAAATGAGGAACCAGGTTGAAAAGGACTGGATTGAATCAAATTTGTATGGTAAAAATGGGCATATTGTTTAACATTCTTGAACATTTTAAATATTTCACTATTATGCTTATTATATTTATAAATATTGTATATTAATTGGTCAGTTTTTTAACAGAAATGCTAAGAATCTTTGCTGGTTAGGTAGATACCAATTCCCAGATAAATATTTGCTTTATAAATACATTTAGAAGCATCAAGTGATATATTTTAAGCAAAAAGCTTGATGTTAAGGAATGATTTCAGGCTTTCTTGAAAATAAAGGATATTTGCTTGATGGTATCTTATTTGTTTTTACAATGTCATTGAAAGAAAGTTCTACGTATTAGTTTATCACTTTATTTTAACTTTATGTCTAGAGAAATGGATAGAAAGTAAGTCAGTGAATAAAGCTGACCACGAGGATATTGGCAACAATGAAAAGAAAAACAAGACCAGTTCAGGACAGTTTGTATTGTCTTAAGAAATAGAAAGACACTTTCATTGTAAAATAAAGAAGAAAAAAAATATGATAGGCAGATATATAGTTATAAATTTCTATAACTTAATTACATGATTAGGGTAAAATCTAGCTAATTTTTAGCTCCAGTAGATTTTGTTTTATTCAGAAAACATCCACTTTGCTTTTGTTGTGCAGAACATTCTTAACTGGGATATTTTCCTATTTTGAATTTTAGGGCAGCGGCAATGACTCTCCGCACGGTATTATTGTCATTGCAAGCACTGTTGGCAGCTGCAGAGCCAGACGATCCACAAGATGCGGTAGTAGCAAATCAGGTAAGACAGCTGCTTTTGAAAGTCTTTCTGATGCTTACCTATGAGTCTCTACTTTAGTGGTTTGCAATGTTAACAAGAGTGTACTTCTGTCGAAACTAAATTTGGAAATGGCTTGCTTTCTTGCAGTAAGATTTTTTGTGAGAGGTAGTAGTGAAAATTTACTGAGTTTTAACATACTCGTTTAATTGGATATATGGTAGATGCTTTTTTTGTAATGTATTAGGAAAAATTTCAAACACACAGTGTCGAAAGAATTACACAGTGAACACCCATATAGATTGTATGATTGACATTTTATTAGACGTGCTTTATCATGTGTGTATCCCATCTGTCTATCCCTTCATTCAGTGATGATCCCTCTTGATGATAATTTAACCAGCTTCTGCTGAAGTGGTATGGTAAAGGTTACCAAGGACCTTATAATTGCCAGATGGAATAAATATTTTTTACTTCTGATCTTTGATCTTGAAGGCAGAAGTCAGCAAATTATGCCCAGACTGACTGTTTTTGTAAATAATGTTTTATTGGAACACAGCCACACCCTTTTGTTTACCTTCCAGCTACAGATGGCAAGGTTGAATAGTTGCAACAGAGATGAAATAGTCTGAAAGCCTGAAATAATTATTATCTGGTCCTTTAAGAAAGTTTCCCAACCCCTACTTTAAGCCATTAGGATTTATTGAGCATTCTTTTTTTTTTTTTCACCTAGAAATTTTTTCTTCCCTTGACTTCTGAGATGCTACTTTCTTCTCTTCCTATCTTCATAGTTGGAGTTGTTTCTTCTTACTTCCTACAGTTATTTCTCTTTCTCCTCCCTTTTAAATGTAGTTCCTTGGTTCTGACATCATTTCTTTTATTTTCTATTATATACTCTCACGTGGATGATCATATCCACACTGCTGTTACCACCTCTGTGTTGATAAAGTGTTCAGGCTTGACCTCTCTCCTGAACCCTAGAGCCCTTTTAGAACTGAATAGCTCTGTATGAATGTCCCATGGATACCTCAGCACAATATTTGCCAAACTGAATGCAGAATCTTAAATCCTACAAAACTGTCTATCCTTCTGTGATGCTATCATCAATTTAGTTAAATATCTAAGTTACGGTCTTGGAGTTCTTCTCTCTCTCTCCTTTTCTCTTGTTAATTGCATTCCCAGTATCTTTCTCTCATCATACTTCTCTGATTGCCTTAGATCACATTTTTAAAAATTTCTCATTTCACCTGCTCTGATAGAGCTCCCTTCTTCAGCTCTTCCTTCCCTCACCTTGTATGTTGATACCGGTTAGCTTTATAAAGTGAAAACCTTATTTTACTGTACTACTAAAAACCTATTAGTGGCTCTGCTATCACCTACTTGGTAAGTCCAAATTCTGAAGTTTGCAGAGTTCCTTCATGATTTGAACTGTATGCAAACCCAGCTTCATCTCGAGATCTTAGCGTTCCTCAAACTCATGCTTTTTCAAGAGGGTGTTCATGTCTGCAGGTCCTTTCACTCAATATACCATGTTTCCTGCACCCAAGGAAACTTCCTCTTAGCAAACTTCTTCCTTTCCCTTGAAAAGCTGTTCATGCCTTGTTTTATGTATATTTTTTTAATATGTCCTATTCATCTCAGAGTGCTTAAAATTATGGTTTTCCATGTTTTATATATATATGTGCTGTTCATTCATTTTTTGCTAGTCAGAAGCACAGCTTGAGTCCCAGCTTTGATTTCCTGTTGAGTTCTGAACCTCAGAGGTTGAGATTGGACTCACAGGTTTTTCTAGCTCCTAAAAACAGTTCAATAATTTGACTTATTTCTTGTTAAAATTAATGGTGGAAACTAGATTTGTTGTTTTAATATATAATGAAAATTCGTCAGTCTTAAAATATTCAGTATGTGTAAAATACTTTAGGAAGTACTACAGTGAATTGAACAGTTATTTTAAGTGTATACTTTGCTTTATATTAAGTAATACTGCCCCGAGAATATTTGAGAATAAAATTACCTCTTTCCAATGCATATGGGAATTCTTACCTTTTAAAAGTATCGTATGGTGTGTTCATAATCATCTTAACACATATGCTGTAAGTTTGCATATAGAGTGTTCTTCAATCACTGTACATTAATACAGCTCTAGCAAAACGATGAAGTCTAGTTGTATTCTAGCCTAGCTGTGGTTAGTACGAAAGTTGGTCACATTTATTAGTTAATGTCCACATAATTTTAGAAGCTAGTAATTCTGTTTAGTTGTATGATGTTTGCCATTGCACAGTGTTTAGAAACATCTCTAATACCTCACTTCACTTAGTATTCGTTTTCTGCCAGATTTGTTGAAATTGGAGATTAAAGTTGATAAACATTATTTGTCTTTGTTTTTCTTTTGTCAACGCAACTTGTGAATCACAGCTTCACAGGTTAAACAGTCCTTACTTCAGTGACACAGTTTGTTTGCAATGGAAAGTGAATTAATCACATTTTAAATGTAAATTAGTTTTATTTACAAAAACCAGATTCTTAGGCAATTAAGAGCTTAGCCACTGTATTGACTGTTATAACTCTATTGTGACGTCAATCAATTTTTTTCCCCATATAGTACAAACAAAATCCAGAAATGTTCAAACAGACAGCTCGACTTTGGGCACATGTGTATGCTGGAGCACCGGTTTCTAGTCCAGAATATACCAAGAAAATAGAAAACCTATGTGCTATGGGCTTTGATAGGGTAAGTATGTAAAGGCATGTTGATTTTGATATGTTTATTGATTTTAAATTATTCCTGCAAATCCTTGGCTGAGCAAAGTAGTTCAAAAATACTCTAAATCTAATTTTGATGAACTTTGTTATTAAAATTAGTGATTTTTCTTTTCCTTTTGCTTTTCCAGTCATTGGTTTTAGAAGCTTTTTATGCACAAATGCAAGGCAACTTAAAAAAACAAGGTGTGATTTCTCAGTATAATGACAGTGAGTGATTCAGTATTTTAGAAATATTTCCTTGAGGGACCGGCCCCATGGCTGAGTGGTTAAGTTCTCTCGCTTCACTTTGGCGGCCCAGGGTCTTGCTGGTTCAGATCCTGGGCACGGACATGGCACCGCTCGTCAAGCCATGCTGAGGCAGTGTCCCACATGCCACAACTAGAGGGACCCACAACTGAAATAAACAACTGTGTACTGGGGGGTTTTGGGGAGAAAAAGCAGAAAAAAAAAAAAAAAGAAGATTGGCAACAGTTAACTCAGGTGCCAGTCTTTTTAAAAAAAAATTCCTTGAGATTTGATTTTTTTCTTCCCTTTTCCTCTCTGCAGAATGCTGTAATAGTGGCCTTGTCTTCAAAATCATGGGATGTAGAGACTGCAACAGAATTGCTTCTGAGTAACTGAGGCATAGAGAGAGAGCTGCTGATATTAGTCAAGCTTGCCCCTTCTTGAGGAGCATCAACATCTGTTATTTTTAGGATTCTGCATAGATTTCTTTTAAACTGGCATTCTTGCCTAATGATGTTATCTAGGCACCATTGGAGACTGAAAAAAATCCTTGCTCTGTAAATAAAGCTAATTAAACGTCTGTGTAAATTTAAAAAGGGGAAATACTTTAATTTTTTTCTTACTTAATAGTGTAAAAATTCTTTGAGCTAAGCTAAAACCATGGAAAAAACATGCTACTTTAGTGTTTAGCAGTGTACCAAGACTAGCGAGAGTTTGCTTCAGGATTTCGTTGAATAATTAAGATAATATTTTGAGTGTGTCAGGGCCATTTAAATTGTTGGTGTTGCATCACAGCTACCTTAACTGTTTTTAACATGGATCCTCTGTGCCTGTGAATTTACTTGCATGCTTGTACTTGACTTCTTAGGATGGGTAGCTGAAAAGACCACCATTTTAAGCATTTTGAGAATTCTTAAATATGAGGTTTATCCAGAATTGAAGATGGTGACCTATTCAGAGCCTTTTTGTCCTTGTCAGCAGACTGGGGCACCATATCTGTTTTTCCCCTCTTGCCACACAAAGCTAATACTCTAATAGTAAACTTCTCTGTATTGGTGGGGAAATGTGCTAAGGGGCAGTATCCCTTGCTACACTTTTAGGTCATCCATTCGGAATGTTTTGTCACAGTTCTTCACTCTGAACACTTTCCTATGTAAGCAAGTAATAATGTAGAAATGGAGCTGCCAATTTTGTTTCTCTTACAAAAACAGTCAATACTTGATGTTGCAGTATTCCTAAGATTTAATGAAAGAACCCAACTTCATATTTCAGTGAATTTGACATCTTTCTATTTTCAAGCTGATGAAATTTTTCTTTGAGAACTTGCAAGGATGAAATCAACTATTTGCAATTTTTTAGCCTAATTTTTGCTTTATGGAGATTGCTTTATCAAATACTTTAAAAGTCACTCTTGCTTACATTTCCCCCTATTAATACATGAAAGCTGTGTTGGCGTTTTACTGTACATACTTCAAATGCACATAGGAATAGAAGTGTGTTATAAATCTAGCTTTCTTTATGATGTTTCTGATAAATATAAGAATTGAAAACTTTACCTTCTCTTGTACATAGTCAGACTTTCTATTTGTATTAAAGTTACATTTCATTCTAAGTTCAAAAGTTTGAAAATTATTAGTTTTGTAAGCTCAGACATTAATGTGACCATTTTATGAAGGTTGAAATGGATTTATGCAGGCAGTTCTATACATAGAGACACAGTTCTTATTAAATTTTCAGGACCAATGCAAAATAACAAAAATGTAATGGAATCAGAATGAATTAAAGTAAGGCTGTATATTGAAACTCATATTATAAAAGATTTGCTTTCTTCAAGTGTTATTTATCCTAAATTAGAATCATTAAGTGTTTGGAAAATAATTTTGAACCATAAATTTAGCATAATTTCATTTGACTTCTCAATAATCTTAGAAGCAATAAAAGAACCATTATTAAATATATTGTAATGTTAAAGATGTGAAGGTTCTTCCAAAAACTTGTCTTTCCTAATCAATAGTAAACTCTTGTAGTTGATGTTTTTGCATACTAAACACAAATTGCTATGTTTTTTCCCCCTATATGTTTGCTTAAGCATAAATTTCTTTATATAATCACCTCCTTTAATTGTTGTAGTTTAGTTACTTTCTAAAGATGCCAAAGGAAACATGATTTTTCTTTATTTATTTTAAATAGCTAAAACCTTGTACTTTTGTTTATATTTTGAAGTAAGGTTGGAATTGTGTGAAAATGTGGACAATTTGTTCCATTGTTGGTTAGAATTAATTTTTTGTTTTTACTGGAGGGCAGCTTGGTAATATTAGGATTATTTTAATTATCAAACACATCTACCCAGTTTTACTATTTGCCTATGTTATCAGGGTATATTTAATTGTCCTGTGGTTAGACAAAGGCGAGAGAGAACTCAGAGGTTACTAAAGGTCAAGCATTACGTACTTAGCTCTTGGAGACAGCTATACCTTGCCTTTGATTTTTATGCACATTAGCCCCATAGAGTGTCTACTCATCTAACTGTAATTAAATATCCCCAGTGCCCAGAAAATCGAAAGGTAAAATATTTGGTATGAAAGGTTTTTCATAATGGATTTTTGTTTCAAAAATTTATTTACCTCATTTACATTTAATGTGATAATCCCTCTTTCCTTTCTGGTACATTTCCCACTGTCCTCCTGTTTTTTGTTGTTTTTCACCTCTCCACAGGTAGATTCATTTCTCCAAACAAAGAAATTAAAGGAATTCCTATTTTCCTCTGGTCTTATGTATGTTTGGAAAAAAGACACTAAAAGTGCAGGTCTAGGAAAAAGGTACCCTGGTGGAAGTTGTTTTTATAATTCTCAATTGTTTGTGATTTGTCATTTTTAAAGACCTCAGAAATTATGGTGTGTATATATATATAGTGATATCCCATTTAGGGCAGGCACATTTGCTAGAAGTCACTGATACTCCAGTAGGCTTTTAACTGTAATTGGGTCCATTTCCTAGCATGTGCCTGACTTTTGAAAGAACAAATAATTAGTTGTATAGTAGTTCAGTACAGATTACTGACTGACTGAATAGCAGTTTGTGACCCAAGTAAGTATACAGGAAGTAGTATATATAAATATTTGAGGAACTGGATACTAAATTAGATGCTCTGAGTTGGCTCCCCCAAATGTTGTGACTATGGTTTACTTAAATACGTAACATGTTTAACTATATATATATATATATGTTTGGATTCTGAGTATTTTGCTTTTGAGGAGAGTAATCTATGAAATGAAAGTAAGATCGATTTTTTTTTTATTTGGAAGTATTTCACATTTGTGATTGTTGGTAGCGCTTAAAACTATGCAAAATAATTTTTTAAAGTATAAGAAAGAATTGGCAGTTAAAGTGGATGTTGCTCATTTATGCACTACAGAATGCAGCATACCTTGTTACTGTTTAGGCTGCTTAATAAGTTTATCAATGTGAAAAGCAGATCTTGGCTGTAAGTGTATGCCTGATTTGAGCTTTTAAAACTCTGCAGTAGGGGTATGATAATGTTTCCACAATCCTTGTAGCAACACAGGAAATAAAGCATTTTCGTTGTTGTTTTAAAGATTTAAGATGGATTCGGTCAGGGAAGAGTTGGAGCCAGGTATACTTTCTTGTACATACATGGAAACAATGTTTGAATATGAAAAAGGAAGCCGTCTGTTTACAGTTAACTTTATTTCATGGACTTGCAAGATGATTTTGTATTAATCACTTTTCTAGTTCAAGAAATTTGAATTCCAGGGTACAAACCATTTCCATTCTTTTAGTACCAGTTTGAGACAAATGCTTAACATAATCAGCTACTCGCTATCACTGGGGAAGAAGGCAACTTGAAGTATTTACTGAGAAATAGCCTCTTCCCATATGTGACTTTACTGCAGTGTCTACATGTTGTGTCACGTGTTCTTTTTGCACTGTTGCAGTATGGATCAGAAATCTTGTGGCGTAGGGATATGGGAGTGTCAGTATCTCCCTTGTCCTGTTTGTTCTGTTACCGCTTTATTGGACTGATCTACCCTCATAAACCTGTGATCATCACTTAAATGTAAGTTGTGAATGTGTCACCTTTCGCTTGGTTATTTCAACCATGCTGCTATATCTAATCAGGTGTGGCACAGTTTATCAGTTTGGTTCTAGGGGATGAGTGGATACAAATCATTGCACTGTGCTGTTAAACGATCCTTGTGTGCTTGCTCTTACCTACTTTTTACAGGCATCATAATAAAAGCTAGACTATTTCTTTGGGGGGAAAGAGACTTATTTAATGTAATTTAAAGACTTTTCAAATAGAAAATGAAATACTATTGAAAATAATATCTATTTTTTAGCTTTCAGCAATTGATGGTGCTTTGTTGTGGTGTCTGCTGGAAGTCTACTGCCATTATAGGGATTCTCATTAACCTCACCGAGAAAGAACCTTGCCTGTTAGCTTCTCTAGATCTCTATTCTAAACAATCTGTTAGTGATAAATTCTGTAGGAGGGTCTATTCTGAGCCGTTAACTTCCTGTAAGGGGAAAATGGGTGGGTTACCAGAAAGACCATTGAAGCAGGGTGGGTTGTGGGTGGAGGGTTGGGTATTTGTCTTGAGAATTAAAAACTACAAAACACTTTTGTACACAACTGATTTTTAAAAAAATAAACACATTTTTAAAGATGTTGAATTTTTTTTCCCCCACTTACTGGGAATTCTTAAAAATAAATGCATGCATGTTTTCCCCTGAAAATGGTTTATATCTTCTTTCTGGGTACTCATCTATGGTTAGGCAGTTAAGCCTCCACAGTACTTTAAACAAGAAAAAGAACCAGGTAAATATTTCTCCTAGGTAAGTTTCATAGTGATGACTGTATAATGATAAATACAGTAAATTATATTGTCTTTGAATTTAAAAATTGGTTGAAATTATTTAATTCTAATTAAAGTTAGTTATTTCAAAATAGAACACTGTTTGGCTAGCTTCTAAACCAAAATTTAGAGTAATCCAGGCTTAGTTGGTACTGAAAGTAATACTGTCTTTATTTTTTTCATATATGCATACAAATCTTTGTGGAAAGGATGCCTGTTACTGTGGAAAGAAGTCCGAGTTGTTTCAGAAAGTCTTGGGTTTCTGTCCTTGGATTACCCCCGCTTGTAATTGGAAGAGGCTGTATTAGTTCATATTTGTACTAGTTATTTCATGTGGCAAAACTGACTGTTACTTTGTGTCTCTAGGGCACTGATGGCCAGCTTTCACCAGGCCTGTGAGTTTCTGTAGCCTGGAGGTGGAATTGCCCCTGACTGGAATACTAGTATGAAGTGCTCTTAGCATGGTGCAAGCTGGATCTTTACATATTAAAAATCAAGGGTAACAAATGGAATTCAAGTGAGCTCTCATGCTAATCCCTAGCAAAGGATGGTCAAATTTAAAGGGTAGCAAACACTTTGTACATGTTTTGTTTCAATCATCAAAGGATTAAAGATTTTCGGTGAATAACATGAATTCTTTAATAAGCTTTTAGGAGTATATCCTATAGTAGTGTACTGTCTACTCATGTATTCATGTTCTGATGTTCATTTCACCCCATTTAATTTCAGAAAAAATGCTTTAAAACACAACTTTATCATTCTACTTTATCTTCCTGCTGTAAATTACCTTTTAATAAGATGTTCCACCAAAATCAAGAAGGCCAACCTGTTTAAATACTCAGTTTACAATACTTGTAGAGACTTTATTTAGTATACATAGATAAAACAAGGCAAACACTGTATAGAACTGGACAAAATTTGAGAAGATCAAAGTACGTTTTATTTCTTACTAATACTCCTAGTACTTTGTTTCTCCCTTATAGCATAAAAGCTTTGCTGAATGTACAGAATATACCTAACTTGATTTGAGGGCAACTAGTAAGTGCCTTTTCTTCACTTACACATCTAACATTCAGCTCCCTAGTTACTGTATTTATTCCACCGCTCTTCATTTTTAATATGTGAAGTATACATATTTCTTTGCTATACACATTATTTGCGTTATCTTGATAGATGAATGACCTCTTGTCCTAAGCAATATTGAGGAACAGCATTAATGATGTCTTATTGGTATGTCCTAACCATATTCATATAATTACAGAATTTTAAGGGAAAAAGTGACCTTCCAGTCTCATGCCCTTCTTTTTTTTTTTTTTTTTTTTTTTGGGTGAGGAAGATTGGCCCTGAGCGAACATCTGTTGCCAAACTTCCTCTTTTTGCTTGAGGAAGATTGTTGCTGAGCTAATATCTGTGCTGATCTTCCTCTATTTTATGTCAGATGCCGCCACAGCATGGCTTGATGAGCAGTGCTAGGTCTGCTCCCTGGATCCAAACCTGGGAACCCAGGGCTGCCAAAGGGGAACGTGTGACCTTAACTGCTATACCACCAGACTGGCCCCTTCACTCCTTTTTTTTTAATAGATTAGTTAAATGAGTTGGATATCCAGAGTCACAGGTTATTTTTGGTGGAAATTTAATAATATTGTTTCAGTGTGCCTACTAAACTTGGTAGCATTTTGAGACCTAGAACGCTATTCTTGTTTCCTTAAAAATAGGAAATGTGGAGGGATCATTTGTAAGCATGAAAAGGAAAACCTATTCAGGTGGGAGTAAGGTCCTCCAAGGAAAGTGTACCCAAACCAGTCCTCATGGTGTGAATTGAACAGAATGTTTTGGTGAACTAGTTCAACTGTTTTTAAGGTGCCATGACTTAGGAAGTTGCTGTACATGCACCAGACTCTTTTTCCTGTTTTTTGGAATAATAGAATAAATAGCAGTGTTGTTGGTTTATGAGACCCATAGGAAATGATCTCCTAAATCACAAAATCTAATTGGCCGTAGAAGTCATGTTACTCTGTTACAGGTACTGTGTTTCTTAACTGCATGATGTCATGCCTCTGTGTTTATGAAGAGAGGTATAG